AATAAGGCAGGCTATATAATTAAAAAACTGGGCAACTGGGTCCTGAATGAACACAAATTGATAGTACCTTTGAGTATGTAGAAAATATTAAATAATAATAACACCAATATAAAGTTTAGTATACCTTATGTATTTCATAAACTAATAAACCATTAAGCGTCTACCTGAGGGCTACTGCCCCTTAACTTTTAATTTAAATTGATTTTATGTTTAATTTATGAATGTTCAAAAATATTATGAAATGTAAAGGAGAAATGCAACCTCATAAATCAATGTGTTCTGGATTGCCAGTTTAATTTCCATATTGATTTAGTGCCCAGGCTGGTGGTATCTACTAAAAGGCACTAAACATAGTCATCCCAGGATAAAAGGTCAGATGGATAAGAGAAAAGTCATAACTAAAGAGTCATCCTCTGATTATTCCCCATGGTGGAGAAATAAGTATAGTGATAAACTAGACTTTTTATTTTAGTTTGTATCTCATTCTTATGGCTACTTGTATTGTTCAATCTTTTGCCTTTATTATAGTGGATGCTATGGGAAAGTGAGTAGTGAATTTGGCCTCCTGATAAAGTGGAACACCTAAGGATTTCAAAAACTTTTGTGTAATGCAATATATTATAACTTTTAATTTTAAAACAGAAACTTACTTTAGTGGTGATGAGATTTGGGTATTGCCATTAAGCAGTAAACTGTGGGTATGTACATACATATATGTATATGTGTATAAAATTTCATATATAAATGTAAAACTTATATATTTCAAGGTATTAAAAGGAGTTCAAGTTGGGCATGGCGGAACACTCCTGTGATCCCAGTGGCTCAGGAGGCTGAGGCAGGAGAATCATGAGTTCAAAGCCAGCCTCAGCAATAGTGAGGTACTAAGCAACTCAGTGAGACCCTGTCTCTAAATAAAATACCAAATAAGGCTGGGGATGTGGCTCAGTGATCGAATGCTCCTGAGTTCAGTCCCCAGTATCCCCCCCCCAAAAAAAGGAGTTCAATTTTTATTGGTAACATAAGATTGTTTTTAATTTATATCATCTTATTGTAGTCAATAAGTTTTTTGTAACTCAAATATAAAATACTTTTCAGAAAAGAAACAGCACAAACAATCTAATAAGTCGCAGAAATTCTGGAATAAAAGCAACTGAATTTCTCTCTTGGTGCTACTGCTTAATAACTGGCAATGTTGGACTAGTTACAAAAGGAAATAATGCACATAAAGTACTTGTCTTGCCGGTTAATGTTCAATAAATGTTATCTATACTATGTAATGGTGATAACAGTGACAACAACAATATTAATATTACATTGTGATGTGAAATAATTTTAAAGTTCTATAAATAATC